GCCACCCTTTCCTCCACTGAGTCTGAGTACGTTGCTGCTGTGGAGGCTGGGAAGGAGGCGCGCAGGCTGCGCTTCCTGCTGGCAGAGTTTCAACTGCTGAGGAGTGAGGAGCCCACGACTCTCTTTGTGGACAACTCCTCCGCCATTTCAGTGGCAGGTGGCATGGGGCTCAAGGGGAGCCTCAAGCACATGGAGCGTCGTCACATGTGGCTGCAGCACATGGTCAAGCGCAGGAAGCTGCAGCTGCAGTACATCCCTACGAGCGAGCAGCCTGCTGACTACCTCACAAAGGCATTGCATTTCCCCGCCTTCAGTCGTTGCTTCGAGGCTGTGGGGCAGGTGCGGCTCTCGAGCGAGGGGAGTGAGACCTAGACACTCCATGATGTGGATGGTGCCATGGCCTATCCATGGCTGGTGCGGTGCGTGTTTACACTTTGAGCGTGTTTCGTTTGTGTGTATCCCTTTGTTTTGGTGTGTATGTGTGTATGCATGCCCTGTGATTATAAAGGGCCTTGCTGTAGTATGGCAGGGGAGTGTTAGAGGGCCCTACGACAGCAAGGGCCCTCGATGACCTTTGACTTGGCAGGTCGGCGCCTAACGACTGAGTCTACTCGGCACCGACGCACGAGTTCGGTGGCGGTCATTAGTGACTACGGGTGACTGTGAGCTACTGCAGCGAACTCGGCGGAATCGGTGCTAGGAATGACGAGTCTTGGGGGTCGTAGGTGCCTTGCTTGTGAGGCACGCTACTCACTTGCTGTGTTGGCAGGAGTAGCGTGCACGGTGAGACATTCCGGTGCCGAGTTGGGTTGGAAATGTGCGGGGCGCGTTCACCCACCTGCACAGCACTTTCGTGTGGGTTGGGTTACTCGCAGCGCCACGCAACAATTGTGCAACTCTTGCTTGCCTATATATGTTTGTGTTTGCTTGTGTGTTTGATAATTGATATTGCAATTCTACTTGGCCCACATGCTACTTCAATTCTCACGAAGTCCTTAGAGGCAAACGCTACCAAAACTCTACCAAGTTGCTGGCGCAACATCATTCCCATAGCAGAGACTCTCTCGCTATCGCTACGCTCTCTAATATATTCCTTCATCAGCCACGCACACGAAACGAGCTTGCGACACTCCGACCAATCAGAAGCTGCTGCTTTGAGTCGCAGGTGCGCGTGTGCTTCACCAATAGCCCGTCTTTCCGTCAACAGCTCTGGTATGGTCAGGCAACTCACAGAACCGTCGATTATGCAGACAGATTGGAATTTCGACCGTGGATCTTTGCAGCGCTGCTATGGCGATCCACTTTCACCTCAATGGTGCGCGAGAATTCGCCCCTCCCGACCCGACGCGAAACGCGATTCGACGAATCGACCTATCTGGTCGAATTCGTTCGCGTCGATTTTTTGCGCCGTCGGATTTCGCACCGTAGTGCACGCAAATCCAAGGTCGACAATAAAAAGGCCCACCCTCTGGCTGTTGAGTCATCATCGACAGAAACTCGTCACCGTCGCATTACTCCATCCCCACTTCTAACATACGTATTAATTCGACCACCGGTTACGATCGCCATGGCGGTTTCGTCTATCCAGAATGCCGTTCCCGCTCGGCGGGCCCCTCGTACCGCCTTTCCGTCCGTCGCGGCAATCTTCGCCGTTGTCTCCGCGATGCTCCTCGATGCTATCACCCACCTTCCGCTAACCGTGCGCGCGGATACCGTTCCGCCCGCCGTCGTTCCCCCCGCCGCCGTTGTTCCTCCCGCCACCATCGTCCCGCCCGCCGTCGTCCCCCCCGCCCTCGTCCCACCCGCCATCGTTCCCCCCGTCGTCGTTCCCCCCGCCGCCGTCGTTCCGCCCACCGCGCCGTTCGCGCAAGCCGCCCCGGGCACGCTCCTGGCGTTCTACAACCGCCAGTACTTCGCCAACTCGCCGAAATCCCTCCCGTTCGTCGCGATTCGCCCCAACCCGGCTGTAGCGTGCTACGACCTGCCGCCGGATTTCGCGCGCAGCGTGGGCTCGGCGCGCGTATGGTGGAACACCAAGGATAACCAGCCGGAGCATATTAAATGCGGGACGGTGTGGTTCTTTCCCGGTTATGGCTGCACGGGCGCTGCCACCGGGATTCGCAGGCCTGGGAGCTTGAATACCACCGCCCCCAGATACAACGCGTACAGGTGAGACCCCTCACAACTCGGTAAACCTTCAAGTTGAATCAAGGTTACCCCACATGCAACTTGAGCTGGTGTGCCTCCGGCCTCGTCTCTTGAGTGTGTGCTCCTCGCATCGTTCTCCCCTTTTTTCCGCCCCGTCGCCACTCCTTGCAAGCACCTGCTTCCATTCCACGCACATTCTCTGCGTCTTATTCTCCTCACCTCTCTCCCATCCCCCCTCTCTCCCCACCATTGCAGCAAGCTGCCAGCACAGATGGCCACAGCTGCTTCCGTCGGCTGCTCTTTCTGTAAGTACCCCTCCCCTCCCTCCCCCTCTCCCCTCCCCCTCCCCCCTTGCCCACCCCCCCCAATCCTCCTCCCTCTTCCCCCTTCCATCCCTTTTTTCCCTGCCTATACGCCTTTTGTCTCTCCTCTCGATTTCACCCTCTGTTCTGTTTCTGCCTGTCCCAGACCCCAACCCTGTGTGCAAGTCATGCTTGTTTTCAACCTACTCCTGTCAACCTACCCCTGTTTCAACCTTCCCCAATATCGCCCTCCCCTGTCCCCAGTCCCCGACCCGTGTGCGGTCATTGCATGTGCCGATCCCAACGCTATGTGCAAGTCAAACAAGGGCACAACTCACGTTTGCCGCTGCCAGCCAGGCTTCACCAGTATCAACGGCACGTGCACTGGTGAGAATACGAGTGCAGCTCGCTGCACTGAATTGCACCGTATGCATGCAGAAGAAGCAGCAGTGTCCTTTCAATTCCACCTGCATCCCCTCCAGCAGTGACAGACCCAGGCTTTCCACCTGTGGGCCAGTCTCTTTCCCCTCCTTTTGAGGCGCCTCAAAAGGCTTTCCACCTGTGGGCCAGTCTCTTTCCCCTCCAGGGCAGCCTGGCCACGTGCACGGCCACTCTCTCGTTCGCTCCCTATCCACCATCCCCTCCGCATACCCCCTGTTACATCCCCATCCCCATCCCCATCCCTATTCCTCCCTCTCAGACGTGTGTACGCAGAAGCAGTGTCCTCTCAACTCCACCTGCATCCCCCGGGGCAGCCTCGCCACCTGCCGCTGCGACCCGGGCTTTGACCGGCAGGAGGACGGCACGTGCTCGCCCACGCCAGCCAACAAGGAATGGTTGCAGCCTCACAACGAGGCACGCGCTGAAGTCGGCTCACCGTTATTGATCTGGAACGAAACACGTGAGTGAATAGGAAGGATATGTTTCGTACAGCCTCTGAACTGACAGGCAGGACGACGGCACGTGCTCGCCCACCCCTGCCAACAAGGAGTGGCTGCAGCCTCACAATGACGCCCGCGCTGATGTCGGCTCACTGCTCTACGGCCACTCCCCTTTCTCCCTCTTCCTCTGTCCATTACAGTGGCAGCAGCAGCCCTGACCTGGGCGCAGCAGCTAGTCAACTCCTCGGCTGGCTGTTTCAACACCACGCTCGAGTCCTCCTCATCACTGCTCCACAACCAGTTATTAACATTCCGTTTTCCCTTTCTCCCTCTCCCTCGTCTCCCCCTCCCCCACCCCCCTTGCCCTCGTGTCCTCTGCAGTGGCAGCAGCAGCCCTGACCTGGGCGCAGCAGCTAGTGAACTCCACGGCAGCCTGTTTCAACACCACACTAGAATCCTCCTCCTCACTGCCCTACGGCCAGAACACACTCGCAGCAGTTAACACCTCCCCTTCTGAAGCCGTGCAGATATGGACGGACGAGGCCGCCCGGTACTCGCGCTCGCCGTACCCCTTTGGGTGCAACGGGTTACAGCTGAGGAACTGCGTGCACTTCATTCGGGTACGTTAGCAGCAAGTAGAAGCATGGCATCATTTGGTATACAGTCTGTTTTTAAGGCGCCTAGAAAACAAGTACAGAAGTATGACATAAATTTGGTATACTGCATTCTGTAGCTGTCCCCACATGTCCACGACGCTGCCCTCTCATGCTCTGGTTCTGTGCTCCTCTTTCGTCTTTCGCTCCTCTCTCCTGTGCCAGGCTGTGTGGAACACCACTCTCAGCGTGGGCTGTGCTGTTGTACCCTGCAAGAACAACTGGCAGACCTTTGTCTGCAATTACTACCCCAAGGGGGCTATTCCCGGAGCATACCCTTACTAAATGGGGTACATGTGTGGAAGTCCTCCGTCCGTGCCCCATACAGGCTGCCCGTACTTCACAGGGCTTATGGCACTACCCTGGAGGGTAGCTGTACATATTACCATAGGCTCGACTCTCAGGAGCAGCATACAGTAGCTTGGCCTGTTGACTAGAGTGTGGTGTGGCCTTTTGGACTCCAACCCGAGGGTGGAGTGAAGTGCAGTGATGGTGGCGGCAGTTAGGTAAACGTTAGTGAGCGACAGTTCAGTTAGCAGGTCTTCTGTAGTGTCCTTGACGTATGGTAGTTCGAATCACTTGTTAGTGAGTCACTCTGTGAAGGTGCGGCATGATGATCCTTGAGCGGGATAATTGTTGTTACAGTAGCACGTGTACAAGTAGGTATTGTGGCAGAGCTTATAAATGAGCACATTTTATCCTAGACCCACCCATTAACTTTTTTCAGTAGACCCATGATTACAGCCAGAGTAGCTATAGAGCCATGGGTGTACATACACCTTGTGCAGCCGAGCAGAAGACTTTGAGACTTCAAACAAGTTATGTAGCTTCTTGTGCAGGACAAAGCTTTGGGTGGTCGCAAGTCCCAGGACAGGAGGACATGAGCACGAGTGATTGGGTGGTGGGCAAGTCCCAGTAACTCTTTCTTTCCAGTTTCTCAGAGCGATGGGTGGTAGCAGGTCCCAGGAGCACAGGAGCAGACCCAACATGCTGACACAGCCTGCTTCCTGTAGTCATCATCTCCCTCTCTCTTCCTCTACATCCGCTCCAGTGGTTCCTCCCTCAATATCCCCTTCACCCTCCCCTAGTCCACCCTTCTCCCTGCCCTTCTCCCCTCCATCCTCCTCCCTTCCACCCTCCTCTCCTCCATCCTCCTCTCCTCCACCCTCCTGCCCAACCTCCGCTCCTTCCCTTTCCGCCAGCATCGCAATCTTCCTCCCATACCTCTTCTTAAACACCTCATCAGTACACCCAAACATTGACCCCAGACTCAGCTGCTGCTCGCGTGGTAACCTGCGTAACATCTCATACCGAGGCCGTAACCGCTTCTCCACACTCCTCGTCAGCAGCGCCGGCCACACCACAATCTCCGCAATACTCCTCCCCATGACCTCCGTAACGAATAAGATCTTATCCTCGATCGTGGTCCACGAATACGCCATCACTGTAGGCGTCTGATTCACAATCCGCACTGCACCCTCCCGGCCAAAAACGTCGATTAGTTTCGAGATTGTATCCATCATTCCGCTCCAGTTCTGACCCAGCAGCAGCGGCTGTCGCCTCAGCAGTCTCTTCGTATCCTCCTCCCCGAAATACCTCACCATACCCTCATAAGTCCTCTCCATAGTTTCATACTGAGCCAGCAAAACGTGAGGAAACTTCCGGAGGTAATAAATCGGATCATCTGCGCTGTTGCTGGATCCTAGTAATCTCTTTACAAGCTCCACCTTTCGCTGGATCTCCGACGCGCGTGCGCTTAAAACGAAGGGCGATCGCTCGAGAACTTCGCTCGCCGGACCTAGCCCCGCGAGCCTGAGCTGCCGAACCTTCTCCTCCAGGTTCGGCAGGGAGAGATTGAGCACCAGCGGGAAGCATTTCAGGACTTTCTCGATTCTAACGACGCCTAATTCGTGCCGAAGGTAATGCAGATTCTCCGCAAGGGATTCGAAGGGAAACAGGAGAACGTTGGAGCGGGAACAGAGGTCGAAGAATGCGGATCGGGTTACATTGTAACGGCGAAAGAGATCTATGCGGCTTTGGACGGATGCAGCGTCTAGGGGAGCGGCGAGGAGGGATGGGAAGCGGTTGAAGATGCCAAGAAGCTGTTTTTCGCTGATCGCGAAGGAATCGTCTTCAAAACTAAGTAACACTCGGAGATTTTCGCTGGCGACGCTGTAGGAATTGGAGAAGAGGGCGAGCTTCTTTGGGAACTTGGCGGAAAGAGACGTAAGAACGGCTTCGCGAGGACCATCGGAAGAGAAATCATCCTGAAAGGGTAAATTCCTTTGGACGGAGACGATAGCACCCTGAGAATCGAAGCTCTGGATTGAGACAGTCTCGTTTGGAAGAGGCTTGGTTGAATCCTCAGAAAGAATGGGACCTGCTTTATTGTCAGATGACCCTTTTTGCTTCTCATCGCCCGATTGTTTTCTGCTGCCGTCGCTCCTGTCGAAGCTCTGCTTTTCATTCTTCTCGCCGTCGATCTCCCTGACGAGTGCGCTGAGAGGTTGACGGTGACTGGGACGAATTCCGTCAGCAACTTCGTCGAACGGCTGGTCCGCGTCGGCGACAGAAATCTCCGACAGCGACTCGCGTGACGATGCGCAGCACACCGAACACGGGATCTGCTGGAACGAAGGCAATCTGCGGTCGCTAGAGCCGGTTACCGCACACTGGCGACAAAATCTGAAGGGTCTAGTGCTACAGTCGCCAAGAGAAGAGACTGAACGGAGAAAATGAGGTCGCTGTTGCAGGGGGGCATGCGATAATCTCCATTGTGAAGGACGTGTTCTATGTGGCTTAGGAGGCGAATCAGGGTGACGGGTGGTGTGGGAGAGGTTTAAGGAGGTAACAGTGTACAGACCCAATCGACCTTCACAGAAAGGACTATACGTCGGCAGCGCCTGCGGCACCGCCATGTTGCTAGTGGCACCAAGTTCTAGCTCTCACGTCACCTCTATAGCACGGAAGCGTTTCTATTGTGCAGCAGCTTTCTCTGAAATGAAGTAGAAACTAGAGAATGGCTGGAGTGGCAGCAGCAATTCTGCTCATGGCGGAGAGGCCAGTTTCAGAGCAAGGTTCCTCAATTCAATGTGGGCGTTGTACAGGTCGCCATTCCAAGCCTTCTCCATTAGTTTCACCTCGTCCTCTGCTGTACAGCACTTTACCGTATTGAAACGTTACTCACCAGAATAAACCATGGTGAACGTACTACGGTAGATTACAACTGACACATGCGATCTGGGTCAGCGCTGCCGAGGGATCAGGCTTTACAAATGGACACAGCTTCAACTCATCCAATCCCGAGGTGGTTCTGAGCTCAAATTACCACGAAAAAGGATGAGCTTCGTGGCTTTCTATGATTGGGGTTTTCTCCGCCCAAACCCTGCGGTTCCGCCTGCCAGAGGACTCCGCAGCCCAGAAATATCTGGGCCCGCTGGTGCCCAATGCTCATCCGCCACTCAAACTTCAGCTTTCCAGTAGCGCACTCAGCCGTTTGTAACAGTTGCATTAACAGTTTAAACCGTAATTCAACTCGCCGGGGAATGCCTGTCCACGTGCTACAGTAATTGGATTCAGGCAACTATTGCTGGGTCGGTTAGTGAGTCATACCTCATAGATTCTGCTTCCTCGAGACTTTCGTGACTACCATGGCTAAGTCTTCAGACAGTTTGCCTGGGATGTTGGTTAGTCTTCTTTCGTTCAGCTAGTGCAGCGAGGGCGATAGCAGCGCATCATACGCAACGAAACCCGTGTCGGTGCTGCGAACCGGCGAGTTTGCTGCACGGTGACCGACCAGGAAATTCTAAGAATTGATTCCACTAGAACGACCAGCAAAGCTGAAAACGATTAGAATCAGCCACGTTTAGTTAGAAGGCAGCATTTTTCGTAACGAGTCGCGAGGCCGCGATGGAGTTAAAGCGGTGGCTTGAGGAGCTTGTGAAGGTTGAAGACTCGGACCTGGCGGCTCTAGAGACCGTGCTTTGCGGCGCACATCCTGGCGGATTCGACGCTTACCTGGAGGAGCTCGAGGCGGAGCAAGGCGCGTCGCAGTGCAACGTGGTGTGGACGTACGGCGCGATCGCGTATCGCTGCCGCGACTGCCAGATCAACGACGCCAGGTAGGTTTCATAGACGCCTTAAAAGTCAACGTGGTTGTAATAGTGAACGGACGCACGGTGGGTGGGATAGCTGGTGCAACTACCGGACCAACTAAGCTAGCCATGCTATCTGCTGCTCTCGTCGCGAATTCAGGACCAAATGTGACGTGTACAGACCAATTTGGTTCCGCACAGACAGGATATCCTTGGACGCTTCTTCTTTGAAAACTGTTGAGGAAAGGGGAAAGATTCATTTTGCGACATGTAACGTGTCAGTGTGTCCTTTGTGTCGCTTGTTTCACTTGAATGTCTATCACCTGACATTCATCAACTGAATCTTTGAATCTAATATCAGAAGAAAATAATTCGCTGGTATGTAACTGAATGCTCTGTTAGTTCTGCCACACGTGGTGATGGCCATTTTCAGCCACAGCTGGTTCGGCTCTCTATCAGGGCTCATAAAATAATCCATATCTTGTGGTGTTTTCCTTTCTGCTGCCTCTCCCCGAGCCTTTCCCGTGATAAAAGTTGAGTTTTGAGACATCTCAAAACTCAATTTTCAGCCACAGCTGGTTCGGCTCTCTATCAGGGTTCATATCATTATCCATATCTTGTGGTGCTTTCCTTTCTGCTGCCTCTCCCCGAGCCTCTCCCCGTGATAAAAGTTGAGTTTTGAGACATCTCAAAACTCAATTTTCAGCCACAGCTGGTTCGGCTCTCTATCAGGGCTCATGTCATATCCCATATCTTGTGGTGCTTTCCTTTCTGCTGCCTCTCCTCCAGCCTCTCCCCTCCACCAAACACCTTCCCCTTCGACCCTCCCCTCTCTCTTCCTTCCCCAACCCCACCACCACTTCTCCCCTTCTCTCCCCACCGTTTCCCCCGTTACTATCACAGTGCCATCTGCGTGAAGTGCTTTCAGGAGGGGGACCACCGTAATCATGACTATGGTATTCTCATAGAATGGATGTTAGTGTTCTCTTGTGCATCATAGGGAGTGGGTTGCGTGTTGGTTCAGAAGAGTGTTGATGTCGAGCTGTACTGCTTTGTAACCTTCTGTCCCAAACCCAATGTGAATCTTTTGCAACCCCACAATACCATGAATCTCCAACATGATGCACATATTTAAGTGAGATCAGGAGGCCAATGGACTCAATTCACTTCTATCTCTTCACTGTCCTGACCCCAATCCCATTTCTCAAACCCCGTTATTCTGACCCCTCATTGCGCTGCCAGTGATGTACCGCAGTGAGTCAGGCGGCTGCTGTGACTGTGGCGATCCTTCCTCCTGGAATCCCAAGGGGTATGTATGTTGCTCCGACATGAGGTGATGAGTATGGGGCGACTTTTGAGTCGACTCAAAAGCCAATTCGTCATGTGGTGATGCATGTCAATGAATGCGGGGCCGATATGTAGCTTGACCTTTTTTTTGGGGGGGAAGGAATGATCTCTTGTCATAGAGATTGTCATAGCTTGACCTCTTTTTTCATGGGCTTGTGACTATGCTTGCATGCAAGGGGTGTGACTGCGCTTCAGTCGAGCGATTCCTTGTTACGGTAACAATGTTACCCACTACCATTCATTGGTTCCTTCCTTTACTTCTTTTTGTTCTGATCATTTACTCCCTGTCCAGTGCTTGCAAGCGCCACCGCCACCAGGAGCACTCAGCAGACACACCCAAACCGCTGCCCGGGAATCTCGGGCAGGTGACTGAAACAGCAGTGGCAGCAGTGGTGGCGCAGCTGGTGCTGCAGGTGGGGAAGGCGGTGAAATCCCCACTGCAACCCCCCCGGGACCTGCTCAAGCTGATTGCGTGGCTCGACAAGGTGAGTCTGATCTAGATCCCATGCGGACAAGTTGATTTGTGAGGTGCCAGTGGTGGCGCAGCTGGTGCTGCAGGTGGGGAAGGCGGTGAATTCCCCACTGCAACCCCCCCGGGATCTGCTCAAGCATTGCAGCTGGTGCTGCAGGTGGGGAGGGGAAGGCGGTGAAATCCCCGCTGCAACCCCCCCGGGACCTGCTCAAGCTCATTGCATGGCTCGACAAGGTGAGCTCTCAACCGGGGAATATTGTGTAGCTCATCTGTGAATCAATCAGAATATTGTGTAGCCATAAATTGCTTCCCTCCCACCCACTTGACCAGGCGTTTGCAGTGAGGCAGCCAAGCAGGTGTCTTCTACAGCGTCCCAAGCTTCTCTCCACTCCCCTCCGTACCTCTTGCTCTTCCCCCCGTCAGATCTCGCATGCAGCAGGCATACGAGACATTGTGTGTGCGTGCATGGCGGCACTCCTCTCTCTCTCTCCCCGTCTCAAGTTCCTCTCAACTCCTAATATGTACCCCTTGCCTTTCCCCCTCCTCAGATCTCGCATGCAGCAGGCATAAGAGACATAGTGTGTGCGTGCATGGCGGCATCCCTTCCTCCGAAAGTGCTAGCTGCTGTAAACCAAATGGGCGTTCTAGGGAGCACTGGGAGCCTTGGGAGCATTGGGGTGACAGGGAACATTGGGAGCATGGGGAGCACAGGGAGAATTGAGATTGAAGGGGCAGAAGGAGGGGCAGGAGGAGGAGCAACAGCAGTAGCAGCATTAGCACCAACAGAAGCAACAGCAACAGCAACAGCAGCAGCAGCAGCAGCAGCAGCAAGTGTAAGCAGAGGAGCAGCAGCCACAGCAGCAGCCTCCCTCTCCCTTCCTCCTCCTCTTCCTTCTCCCTCCACACCCTCAGCCGTCCAACTCCTCCTAGAAACCCTCTCAGCGATGGCAGAGGAGGTGGTGACACAGGAGGCGACGCTCTTCCTGCTGCTGCTCTACTCGCCCGCCTTTAAGAACGTCTTCTCAGCGCTGCTCATTCGCCAGTACCCACTCCTCGTGCTCTCCGTGCTTCCGGATCACAACCCCTCCGCCCGCTTCATCAAAATCGAAAAGGCTCTGGACCGAGGTGAGTGCTCCGTGCCGTGCCCCCTGCACTATGTGCCACCGTCTCCCTTCCTCCTTCGTCTCCCCCACCTCCTCCTCCTCCTCCCACCTCATCCGCCGCTACCTCCACCTCCTGCTCTCCGTCCTCCCTGACCACAACCCCTCCGCCCGCTTCCTCAAAATAAAAAAAGGCCCTGGATCGAGGTGAGTGCGTCGTGCCCTGTTCACCTGTACCGCAGGTGTTGAACATGCCCACAGGTGTTCAGCTCAGGTGCATTGCAGCGGTTGATCACACCCAAGGAGTGAGTGGAGAGGCTGCAAGGTCGCCATTGGCTGGCTGTCAGCAGAGGGTGCTCGTGTTGCAGAGGGTGCTGCTCTCACTCAGGCGACTTGTGTTTGCATTCACACCAATCATACTCGTTTGAATTCACATCCATCGCACCCTCTCGCAGTGATGGTGCAGCTTTTCAACATACCCGAGGTCACCATGCCCTGGGTGCTCTCAGCTCAGGGGACCTCAACCCACTTCCAGCTCATCCGACATACATGCCCTACACGTGTTTGTATCCATACCATACCCATCATACCCTCTCCTCTCATCTTGCAGTGATGGCACAGCTGTTCAACATCCCAGAGGTCACCATGCACTGGGTGCTCTCAGGGGACTCATACTGGCCCCACATCACACTCGTTCTTTTCCTCATGTCCCCATACCACACCCATACCTGTACTCTCTGCCAGTGATGGTACAGCTGTTCAACATCCCAGAGGTCACCATGCACTGGGTGCTCTCAGACTAATTGCATTTCCCCATACTCACCCTGCATTACCTTCGCCTACATCGCACGCACCATACCCTCATCTCCCCCAGTGATGGTACAGCTGTTCAACATACCCGAGGTCACCATGCACTGGGTGCTCTCAGGGGACCTCCTCCACCTCTTCGTCTCTGTCTTCTGCCGAGTCATACAAGCCGCCAAATCGTGAGTACCTATTTCTGCTCTTGCTGCTGCTGCCGCCGCTGCTGCTGTGCCAGCGAGCACTGAACCCCATGTTGGCACTTTCCGTCCTCTCCCATCCCCTCCTCCACCTCATCGTCTCTGTCTTCTGCCGTGTCATACAAGCTGCCAAGTCGTGAGTTCCTGTTTCTGCTGTTGCCGTGCTGTGCTGTGCGAGCGAGCATTGAAACAATGAACCTCATGTGTGCCACGCGCCATCCTCTCCTGCTCCACCTCTTTGTCTCTGTCTTCTATCGTGTCCTGCAAGCCGCCAAGTCGTTAGTAGCTCTTTCTGCTGTTGCAGTTGTCGTGCAACGAGAATTGAAACAATGTAGCTCATGTCTGTCACTTTCAATCCTCTCCAAGTCTTCGTCTCTGTCTTCTGCCGCGCCCTACAAGCCGCCGCTAACTCGGGAGTAGCTATTTGTGCGGTAACCGGTTACCATGCTGTGCAAAAGAGCATTGAAGCATTGAACCTCATGTGTGTCTCTTTGCCATCCTCTCCTCCTCCTCCACCTAATAAGACTTCCGCAGCCAAAGTAGTTGGGAGACCCCAAGCACCGTCAGCCATGTGGACAGCTATGCCATCCTGTCCTCCTCTCCTCCACCTAATAAGACCTCCGCAGCCCACCTGTCCATTACTGACAGCTATGCCATCCTCTCCACCTCCACCTCTTCGTCTCCGTCTCTCTGCTATGTCTTCAAGCTGCCTCCCAGCCAAGTCGTGAAAAATGTTCTCTTCCGCTGCTGTTGGAAGTGACTCGAAAGTGCTTGTGCAAGCGAGCACCGAAGCACATGTGTGCTATCGCTTGCTGTCCCCTCCGTTTCTTCTGTGTGCCACTTTCCTCTAGTCCCAAGATATTATTCCCAAGCTTTTATTCCCAAGCCATTTTCACAAAGAAGGGTGGTGAATAAATGCAACAGCCTTGCTCACCCCCTCTCATTCTTTCCCCCCGTTTTGCTGCCCTGCATCCTCCCCTCTCCTCATGAACCACCAACTGTGTATGATGGTGGCATGGCTTGGCAGGCCGACAGGGATGCTGAATTGTGAGAGTCCCATCATCTGGCCTCGGGAAACAGTGATGCATGTGAGTGGGTGGTGATGGTGACTCTGAGGTGCTTCATGGAGAGTGGATAGTGATGGATGGGTGAGTGGATAGTGATGGATGGTGACTCTGGTGGTGCTGATTTGTGAGAGTCCCATCATCTGGCCTCGGGAATCAGTGATGCATGTGAGTGGATAGTGATGGATGGGTGCATGTGAGTGGGTGGTGATGGATGGATGCATGTGAGTGGATAGTGATGGATGGGGGGGGATGCTGTGAGTGACACGTGTAAGGGTGATGAACGGGATACCAGTAACGATGCAGGGATGCCCATTCCTTTCTACGAGTAATAGCGTGTGTTTTGAGACGTCTCAAAACTCGGGATACGAGTAACGATGCAGAGATGCGCATTCTATTCTATGAGTCATAGCATGTGTGGGCATGCATGCCCATTTTTCACTGCATGCACGCCCACTTTTCACTGCATGCATGTTGCTGCTGTGTTGTCTCTCGCTCCTCTGTGTTCATGCCCCCTCATCCCAATGATTTCATCTCGCTCCCCCTCCACCCTCTTCCTCATTCAAAGCAATCTGCATCCACTCTACTCGCATCCTCTGCATGCTCCTGGTCTTCTCACACACGCGTGTTGTTAACCACCTCCTGTTCTCTTCTCTCGTTTGTTCCTTCCCCCCCACCCTCCCCACCCCCCCCTTTTCCTTTCCCCCTCACTCAGGGCAATCTGCATCCGCTCTACTCACGCCCGCTGCACGACATGCGCCTCATCTTCTCCCACATGCCTGTCGTCAACTACCTCCTCACTCAGCGCCTCGATTGTCTAGCTGACCTGCTGCTTACGCTCTCGCTGCTACAGGTCAGCTCGTCTCACACTCTCTATGCGTCTATAGGGCAGCTCTTTGTCTGTTGTCAACTACCTCCTCACTCAACGCCTCGATTGTCTAGCTGATCTGCTGCTTACGCTCTCCCTGCTACAGGTCAGCCCTTCTCACACCCTGTATGCAGCTACAGGTCAGCCGTTTATCTTCTTTTTTCCTGCTACAGGTCAGCTCTTTTTTATGTCGCCCTCTTTGCCACAGGGTCAACTCTTCCTCCTCACACTCCTTCCGTTCTCTCTCCTTCACACCACCACCACTTCTTTCGCACTAGATTAGACAGCAGCACCACGATTTTCTCTAGCAATAGCTGTTTTCAGCTCAAGTTTTAACTCTGCTTTTTTTCCTTGAGCTCACATGTGTGTGGGCGTATAGGTTTAAACATAACCACCCCATCCCCTAACCATCCCTCCCCATCAGGGCATGAACCCGTACGTGCGTTTTGAGTATGGCGACGTCACAGAAGGCACCCGGTTGGTGGACTCTCCTCATGCCACTGCCTGCCTTGAGCCCATGTGGGAGCATGTAAGCTCATGCGTTCCACCTCTCGCCCTATCTTCCCTTCCCTTCCATCAGGGCATGAACCCGTACGTGCGCTTTGAGTATGGCGACCCTACTGAAGGCACCCGGTGGACTAAAGCCGTCACTCTGGAGGTGAGGATTGGACGTGGGGGTTGTTTGGTGAGAGCGCACAGGGAAGTGACGCTGAGCTTTGGGGGTTGCTGCTGGTGGGGGCGTGTGTGGGGTGGGGGTTGGTGTTCCCACTGAACTGAACCCATACGTGCGCTTTGATAATGGCGACCTACTGAAGGCACCCGGTGGACCAAGGCCGTCACGCTCGAGGTGGGGGGGACTGGGGGTGGGGGTTGGAGTTGGGGGCTTGGGGTGGGGGTTGTTGATCCCACTGAACTGAACCCATACGTGCGCTTTGATGACCCCACAGAAGGCACCCGGTGGACTAATGCCGGGCTGGGACTCTGGAGACTGGAGGTGGCATTGGGCTGGGCTTGGGGTGGGGGTTCAGCATGGGCGGAGAAGGGCTATAACCATTGTCGGATTTTTGGGACGTGTTAAAACCGTCACCGGGGGGGTGCGGGTGGGAGTTGGTGTTGGGGATTGGAGGAGGTGAGGGTTTGGGGTGAAAGAAACGGCTGAGCATTGCTCGCCACACCGCCTCCCTCCCTCCCACTGACCCCCCTGCTCCCCCAAACTGTCCCTTCCACTGATTGGTCGAATCGACACCATCACAGAGCGCTACACCCCCCCTCCACTGACCCCTCTGCCCCCTCTTCTTTCTTCCCCCGTAACTCCCTCTCCCCCCCCCACACTCCCCTCTCCCTTCCAGATGTTGGTGATTGGTCTTATCGACACCATCACAGAACGCTACACCTCCTCCCCCTCCACTAATCCCGTGCTGCCTCCCCCATCTTCTTTGACCTCCCCCCCTTCCTTCTCTCCCACCACACTCCCCTCCCCTCCTCCTCAGATGTTGGTGATTGGTCTTATCGACACCATCACAGAGCGCTACACCGCCTCCCCCTCCACCCTCCCCACCACCATCCTCGCCCCACCTGCTGGGAACACTGGAGGAGCGGCAGATGCATCAGGAGGGGAGGGGCGAGGAGGGGCGGCAGGAGAGGGAGGAGTGGATGCGGAGCATGCTCTGCTGAATGGGGCACGGATTGCACTGCAGGCCCTGCTGGCTTGGCTGGTCAAGGTGAGTCAACGTTGGTGGTGAGTCAATGCTGGTCAAGGGGAGTCTAACTCAACGATGGTTGTCTGTTTCAAAACGTCTCAAATCTCTCTTTCCTCTCCTCCTGTGTTCAGAATCAGATCAAGGCGGAAGATACAGGGAGCAAGTCAGTCGCCATGTCGCTGCACCTGCCGCTGCATCGCATTCTCTCCCTCTTCTTCGCCTCCCTCGTTCACATTGCTGCTCACACTGTGCCTTCTACTGCTGCTGCTGCCGGTGGTGCTGCTGGTGTGGCTCGTTCTGGCAATGGTGATGGGGGCGATGGGTCAGGGCCAGCAGCATCAGTGGCTCATTTGCGCCGACTGCTGCCACTTAACATGCGCAGAGAGGTGAGTGTGGAGAGGGGTGAGGGAAGAGAGGGGTGAACTGTGAAAGTTAGAGCTGTGAGGGTACAGAGAGGTGAGGAGAAACAGAGAGGTTAGGCCGTATGGTGACGTGGGAAGGTACAGACTTGTTGTGTGAGTTCATGGTACTCAAAAGCTGCACATTACAATGGTGCACAAAAACGTTCCCAGGCAAGTCATCTGTGTGGGTGTGATCTGAAAAATTGCTCTCTCTTTTGTGTTTCCGCTCCCAGTGCCTCACGCTGCCCCCTGTCCGTCCTCCCCCTCGCTCGTCCCTCCATGACAGGTTCTGGCTATGGCGGAACATCCGCTTCGCCTCTTCGCCTGGATGGCTCAGGTCAGGTCTTACGAATCATCAGGAACCAACTAATTAAGCTGCTCCCCATGCGCCCTCCCTCTCCCCTCACCGCTCCCTCCATGACAGGTTCTGGCTATGGCGGAACATCCGCTTCGCCTCTTCGCCTGGATGGCTCAGGTCAGTCCTCTTGTGTCCTGGATGGTGTTCGTTTCGACTTCACTCCCTCTTCCCAATCCTCTCCTCACTCAGTGCTTCACTGATCTTCTCAATCCTCCTCACTGCTCTCTCTGCTCCCCACACCCCCTCCCACTGCCACGGATCCCGTTCAGACACCACAGATGCCACAGATTCCACCATCTTGTTGATCCGTGCACACGAGTGGCTTCTGTGGTGTCTGAAACCCATCTCCACCGGTTCGCATCCCCATCTTTCTACTCCGGCCCTCCTCAATCTTCCCCATTCTCTGATTCGAGCGCGCGAGTGGCACTACCAGGGCGAGGATCTGAGCAAGCTGGAGAGGGTGTATCAGGGAGGCTACTGGTCCTCGACCTGCTGCTGCTGCTGCAGCACCTCCTCCTTGCTCTCATCTTGCTCTCGTCTTGAATAAATCCTCTTCCCTGCTTCCGTTCCACATCCTTTTTACCCCCCACCCCCACTCTGTTCGCCACCCACCCACCATCATTCACCAGATTCGAGCGCGCGAGTGGCACTACCAGGGGGAGGACTTAAGCAAGCTGGAGCGCGTGTATCGGGGGGGATACTGGCCCGCTGCCATGGACCTCGACCTGCTGCTGCTGCAGCTCGTCTCGCTATTTTCAAATGATTCCCCTGCTGCTCTCCTCGCCTCAGCTGTGAAACACTTCACTGTGAGTTGTGTGTGCTGCATGGTTGAAGCCCAAGCTCATCTCGCCTGCTAGCCTTCTCCTGCTGCCATGCACCTTGACCTGCTGCTGCTGCTGCTGCTGCTGCTGCTGGGCCTCGTCTCTTTCTTTTCGAATGATTCTCCTGCTGAGCTGCTCGCCTCAGCTGTCAAGCACTTCAGTGTGAGGTGAGTTGCATGGTTGATTGAGTACCTGACCACTAGGCTACTGGCCCGCATGGCTGCCTCCCTGCGTTTTGCCTGGCTGACGCCTTGCCTGTGCCTGGCTGAAGCCTTGCCTGTGCCTGGCTGAAGCCTTGCCTGTGCATATGCGTCTCATCCTCTATGAGCCCTAGAATTCACTCGCCTGTCGTTACTTCTGCTCCGTCCCTCCCTCTTTTCTCTCAGCTTCATGACACCTTCAGCAAAACCATCCAATGCGCTTCTGCCACGTCATCATCCTCGTCATCTGCCCCCCCAAGTGCTGACTGGACAGCAGCAGAGCTCAGCCGATTGGCTGATCTGCTCAAGCTTGTCCTGCTGGTGAGCGGTGCTGAGTGGTACAGTGCAGTGGAGTACGTTGCTTAAAGTGCATGCAGCGCTGCTGAGTGGTGCTTCATGTACATTGTGCTCTCTGTTCCACCCACTTTCTTTGCGTATTCCATATGGTTCTACATCCATTCGTTTCTATCACTCTTCCACAACATTTGCGTTATGCTTGAGTTGAGTGCACGCGCATACATGGGTCATTTCATGCCTGGTTTTCCTATTTCTTGACGCCTGTACAGATCATTCGAGACCCCAAGCACACGGGTTTCCCAGAGGTGAGTGTGAAAGAAAGATGCATTGGGATCCCCGCCTCACCTTATGTGTACCTCGCAGTCACCTGCCCCGCCTTTTTATCCAATGCGAGACTACATCCATGTTGCATCATTACCATGCCTTCTGAGGCTCAAATGTCGTCTCACTTCAGCCGACCTGTTTCTCCTCCTTGCGAGGTCACGTGTTGCGATACCATGTCATTAGGCGGCTTGCAACCAAGTTAATGAGATTTGCGCTTCTCCTCTTGCTCGTTTCCTCTCCCCTCTCCCAATCTCAGGACTATGTGTTGCGGTACCATGTGATCCAGTGGCTTGCAGTGCGTGACCGCACTCACAGCGATGTACGTCCACCCACTCCTTACACCTCGCACATAGCGTCTTACCCTTCACCACATGTAGTGTCTTGTCTTTCAGGACCATGCACATGCTCTGATCAACAGTGCATTTTTTGCACTCTCGTAACATCCGTCACATCCATATTACGCTCGTCTTGCATCGATTATGAGCTTCGAAAGCAGCTTTCGCCATTTCCACTCTCTTGCTTGCTGGTTTTGCAGCGCACAGCCTTCAAGCAATTGCACCTGTTCACAAATGCCACGTGGCAGAGCACCATGCGCCTACACAGGCCCACTCGCTACTTCCTCTTTCCTTCTTCCCCTTGTTCTCTATGCAGCTCGCCAAGCAGCTGGAATCCTCCCTCGCCAGTCTCCCCCAGCTGAGCGCAGTGCTGCAAGAGGTGGCAGAGCACCACGTGCCGCGGCGGCCTCACTGTCTTCTTTCCCCTGGTGTACCATGTCCCCTGGCCCCTTCCGCAGCTCGCCCAGCAGCTGGAATCCTCCCTCGCCAGTCTCCCCCAGCTGAGCGCAGTGCTGCAAGAGGTGGCAGAGCACCACGTGCCGCGGAGCCTGCAGCAGCGTGTGGCAGGAGACACCTCATTCTTCTTCCCTTCTCCTGCCTCCTGTGTCCACCCACTTCCTTTTCGCAGCTCTCGCAACAACTTGGTTCCTCTCTTGCCAGTCTACCGCACCTCAGTGCGGTCCTCCAAGACGTGGCAGAGCACCACGTGCCCAGGCGCCTGCAGCAGCGCGGCTACTTCCAGCTGAAGCCCGCCTGCTGGGAGGAGTTTGACCCACTCTTCCCGCATTACTCGCTTTCAGAGCTAGAGGAGGCTCAGGTGAGTGTGGATGGGGAAGGCGAATATGGCCCTCTCAACCTGATCCCGTACTCTTCTCGTCCTCCACTCTTCCCACACCGTTCAACCGCACTTCCCCCACTAGCCCGTGTGTGTGTATGTGTGCGGGAACAAGCACATAGGTTGGGGTGGGGCCCATGGTATCGCTTTTGAGAGTTTTCAAAAGATGAGCTGGCGCATGGCTCGCATGGTGTGCTTCATAGTGTTAAACAGCACCTTTTTTTTTTCTCCCCACCTCCATCTCCATGTATAGAGAGGGTGTTTTTGAGACGTCTTAAAAATACCCTCTCTACACCTCCATCTCCATGTACGTGCTGTGCATGCAGGAGCGAGCAGAGAGGCTGGCTCCCAAAGTGCGCTTACGAGTCTTGAGATGTCACTCTTTCCCCCCCTCTCCGTTTTCTCCCCACCTCCATGTGCGTGCTATGTGTGTTGTGTGTGTGCTATGTGTGTTGTGTGTGTGCTATATGTGTTGTGTGTGTGCTATGTGTGTTGTGTGTGTGCTATGTGTGTTGTGTGTGTGCATGTGTGCAGGAGCGGGCAGAGAAGCTGGCGCCCAAGGTGCGCTTCTGGCGAGTGCAGTGCCCGCAGCGACAGATGGCGCCGTTTGATAGGCTGCCAGACATGGCTCACACCGAGGTGAACTCTCTTTCCCTGCTCTTCGTTCAGCATCGGTCGAACCGGCCAGGAGGAATCTTGCCATTCCTCATTCCACCCAACCATGCACGCCCATACCTCCGCTACTTGCTCCCCAGCACGCCTCTGCAATAATTAGACTCCTATCCTTTCCTGTTTCCGTCAGCTACTTGTTCCCGCCAACCCCTCACCCGACTGACCTACTCCTCCCCTGTTCCATGCTTGCAGCCATGCCACATTGTGGTGCGCTGTGCTGTTGCGTGCGCCGCCCACCTGCTCGCCTCCCGCAACCCAGCCCACAGCACGCAAGCAGAAAACATCGCTCTCCTTGCCACACAGCTCGTGACTGTCGCTGCTACTGATGCCAGGTGGGTGGGGTGGGGTGGGGTGGGGTATGCCAGTGTGTAACTCCCTTGGTGAATTTAGCACCAACAGCCTTCACCTATCACATTACTCCAGGCTCCCTCTTGCTGCCCCAATCCCAGTTGCCCTTTTCCCATCTCCTCTCTTGTCTCCCCTTTTCCGCTTCCTCTCTCTGCTTCCATGCTTGGTCGGACTTTTCCTCCACTAATTCACTAATTCTCCTTGCAGGGGCCAGCTTCCCCTTGCACTTCGTTTTACATCCAGGTCCGACCAACCCAAGCTGGCTGTGGACGATTTTTGAGGCGCCTCAAAAACAGTCTTTTCTTTCACTAATTCTCTGCTTCCCCTAGCCTTAGTTTTACATCCAGGTCCGTCCAACCCAAGCTGGCTGTGGAAGGAAGCTATGGTGCTATGCTCGCCAGTCTCCTCCCCTTGGTCCATCCCTGCTCAATCGCTCCTCTCCTCCCTCTCTCCGTGTGTCTCGTGGCCCCTCATCCCCCTTCCAGGTCCAACCCAAGCTGGCTGTGGAAGGAAGCTATGGTGCTGGGCGCACCATTTTCCGCGTCTCCCTCCTGGCTGCCTGTGTAGGCCCATCATCCGTGTATTCCTTGCACCTCGCGCCCCCCTTTTTCAGGTCCAACCCAAGCTGGCTGTGGAAGGAAGCTATGGTGCTGGGCGCACCATTTTCCGCGTCTCCCTCCTGGCTGCCTGTGTAGGCCCATCATCCGTGTATTCCTTGCACCTCGCGCCCCCCTTTTTCAGGTCCAACCCAAGCTGGCTGTGGAAGGAAGCTATGGTGCTGGGCGCACCAGTCTCCTCCTCCACCTCCCCCGTCCCCCCCCGACCCGACCCGTCATCTATGTGTTCTTTTTGCCCCTCGCCCCCACCCCTTCCAGGTCCAACCCAAGCTGGCTGTGGAAGGAAGCTATGGTGCTGGGCGCAACAGTCTCCTCCTCCCCTTCCCGGCCTCCCCTGTATCCCCCCGGCTTATATTCGACCAAGAAACCTGGCAGCAGTGGGAGCAGTGGTAGCGGTGGCAGTGGTGGGAGTGGGGGCGGTGGGGAGAGTGAGTGGGATTCAGAGCGGTTGCAGTCTGTCAGATCCCGTTCCTCTGGCGCTGCTGCTGATGATGAAGGTGAGGATGAGTGAGAACTCTCAAACAGCTTTCGGTGGGAGTGGGGGCGGTGGGGCTTGGAGCAACTGCAGACAGTCAGATTTCGTTCATCTGCCGCTGCTGCTGCTGCTGATGATGATGATGAAGGCAAGACGGATGAAGACCCTGCTAATAGTGAAGATTTTCCAGAAATCTGATGGTGGTGATGTCTCATGTGTGCTCTGCTCGCTTCTTAGGCTGGCTTTTGAGACGTCTCAAAAGATGGTGGTGATGTCTCATGTGTGCTCTGCTCGCTTCTTAGGCTGGCTTTTGAGACGTCTCAAAAGATGGTGGTGATGTCTCATGTGTGCTCTGCTCGCCTCTTAGGCTGGAAGAAACTTTCCGGGGTCTGTTTTTCAGGCGCCTCAAATGCAGACCCCTCTCTTACCTTCCCCCCTCCCACCCACCCTTTGCTCTTCCACCCTCCCCTCTCCAGATGATGATGTTGCGTGTGTGAGCTGCTCACCTCGTTGGCTGGAGGGAATTTCCAGGAACTTCAACAAGTTACGCTCGCAGTCCCCCTCACGCTCCTCCCTCGACCTCTTCCGCTCCTCCTCCTCCCCTTCGCGCCGCTCCTCTCCCTCCCGCCACTCCCTAGACATTGCAAGAAGCCTGGATGATGCCGCTACTGCTGCCGCTGCCGCTGCCGCTTCTCCTGCCCCCCCTCCTCCTGCTGCTGCCAATGCTGCGGCTGCTGGTGTTGGCGATGCTGCTGCTGGTGCTGAAATTGCTGGTGCTGATACTAGTCCTGATGGTGACTTTGACGTAGCTGCTCCAGCAACAGCAGCAGCAGCAGAGGACGAGGTAGCAGCAGCAGTTCTGTCATGCCTCCCATCCACCTTATCCGCAGCACCATCTGCTGCAGAGGGTGACGATGCAGCAGCAGCAGCAGTCATATCGTGCTTACCCTTCGGTGGGGATGCACGGGGAGCAGCAGGCGCCAGGGCAGGTGGCAAGGGCAAGGGGCGGATCTCGCCCTTTGACTCGCTTCCGAACGTGTTTATCTCCCTTAAGAGCATACTTCAGAACACAGATAACCATCGTGAGTTTTCAGATGCCTCGAAATCCCAAGGAAACGGGTGACTATGTTTCCTTGGGATTAGAGCTGATGTTTCTAAGTCTCAATCTCAGGAGACTATTTTCCCAATAAAGCTGATATGTTTTGCAAACTGGCTGGCATTTGATTTTCCACTGCCTCTTCCTCGCCCTCTCCTCCTGCCTGCCGCCTTCTCTAACGGTTCTTCTCTCGCTCTTCCTTCTCACCGCCAGGTCTCAAGGACGCCATAGAGCATGTGATCTCGTTGCTCATGACCCGACTCAACCTGCGACCACATGAGGCACCAGGGGAGGTGACACTGCTTTTCTTTTCTTTTCTTCTCTTTTGTCACCTTGCTGCATGAGGAGAAGGGAGAGGTGGTAATGGTGCTTCACATCACGGACTGATTGTATGCTGCTGGGCATGGGGATGATTGTGATTAAAGCTATGAGCTATCATATGACAGGCAAAAGCCTTGCCTGCATGTTTGAGTCGACTCACAAGCACATCACGGACTGATGGTATGCGGCTGGAATGGGGATTCTGGGGTGATTAATGCTATGATGTGAGAGGCAAAAGTCTTGCCTGCAAACACTTTGCTTGGTTTCACACTCGCTCCCTTCCTCACCACTTCCTTGCCCTTTCACCCTTGCCGATCCTCCCTCCCTCCGCTTCACATACACCCCTCCCCCCTTTTCCCCTTCCTTCTATCTCCTCCCGTGTGTCCAGTCCAAGGCAGAGCAACCTGGGTCTGCTGCAGCAGGAGCAGGAGAAACTGCAGCAGGCACGGTAGCAGGAGGAGCAACAGGAGCAGGTGCAGCAGCAGCAGCAGCAGAAGCAGGGGGCCTGTCGCGGGCGGCTGGAGGAGGGATGGGGTCGGATGAGGCGAAGCGGCAGCAGAAGAGGCAGCGGCAGGCTGCTATCATGGCTCAATTCGCTGCTAAGTGAGTCGATGGAACGAAACGGCATGGCATGGCATGAAACATGTTTTGTCTGAGACTGTAAGTATGCCTTTTCTAAGGGAGAAGAGGCAGCAGAAGAGGCAGCGGCAGGCGGCTATTATGGCTCAATCCGCTGCTAAGTGAGTTGTGGGTTGTGGAGTAATGCACATTGGAATGTGGTGTGGACTGCTCCAGGAGGTGATTTGAACTTCTCCTTTGTTTTCTTTCCTTTCCTGTCCTTTTCTCTTTCTTTCTTTCTTCCCTTGCTCCTTTCTTTCTTTCTTTCTTTCTTTTCCTCTGTTGGCATTTAGAAATTCTGAATTGATGTTCTCAGTCACATCAAACTCTTTCTAGAATAACCACTACAACATGCGCACATAAATGACAACATCATTCCAATTCAAACCCACACGTGCATGTGCAGGCAGAGCGCGTTTGCCAAGATGCTGGCAGCAGCAGACGATGATGAAGATGATGAGATGGAGGAGGGGAGGACGAGAGAGACGAAGGGTGGAGCAGGATCAGATGGGACAGGAGCAGGTGCAGCAGGATCAGGGGAAAGTGGCAGGGCAACGGGCAGCAACGTAGCAGTAGAGCCAGCACCAGCAGCAGGAGCAATGGAGGGCATGGATATTGATGGGGCCTGGGCAAGGGGGGCTGCGGGTGCAGTTGGTAGTGACAGGGGTGGAGATGGTAATCAAATGGGTGAGCAGCAAGGTGACGTAGGGCGGGGGGGATTGGAAGGGGGCGGAATGGGTGGTGCAGGGAGGGAAGCTTCGCGGAGCAGGAAGAGAGGGCAGGCAGGGGGGAACAATGAGGCGGGGCAAGCAGATGGGGAGGATATGGAGGTGGATGGGGGACCCGAAGGAAGTGAGGGTGGAAAAACTGGTGTGCAGGGTGCAGGAGGTGTGGGTAGGATGGAGAAAGGAAAAGGCAAGATGGAAGAGGGGGGGAGAGGGGAGGGTGCGGGCATAGCAGCACCACTGGGAGGTGCAGCAGCAGCAGCAGTGGCAGCGGGTGGTGGTGTGAGGAAGGCGAGGATAGCGCCAGGGTCTCTTGCTGCTTTCACTTCCTTTGAGCCCGACCTGTGTGGTTTCTGTCATGCCGAGGTGAGAAAGTGAGCTGAGCATGGAATGTGTAGTGGCAGCAGCAGCAGCAGCAGCACCGTGCCACCGGCACACAGAGAAGTGGTTTGAGGTAAGGAAAGCAAGGGTAGCAGCAGTGTAGCACGGAGGTGTCTTTTGAGTTGACTCAAAAGTCACCTTGTAGTGGCTGGCAGCAGCACCGTGCCACCATCGGCACTGAAAAGTGGTTTGAGGAAAGCAAGGGTAGCAGCAGGGTAGCACCGGGTTGCCTTGCTGCTTTCACGACGTTTGAGCCAGTCCTGTGCGGTTTCTGTCATGCCAAGGTGAGAAGGAGTGCACTGTGGTGTGAAGCGGCAGCAGCACCAGCGGTAGTTTGAGGAAGGCAAAGTACTTACTGCTTTCACATCCTTTGAGCCAGTGAGAATGTGATGTGAGCAGGTGCTGTGCTGTGATGGAGAGAGATGAGGAGGTGCTGTGATGCGGCACATTATGAGAATTCTCGATTCAAAAAGCTGTTCATCGTAAATCTCGGTTGCTACTACGCGGTTTTGGGGATGTCGTTTGAGTTGACTCAAAGCCATACCCTGGGATAAGATGGCATTTTTGCCACATCTCCTCTCGGGCTCAGCCAGCCTATCTCCCCCACTGCTGCTGCTGCTGTTGCTACTGCTGCTACTGCTGCTACTGCTGCTACTGCTGCTGCTGCTGCTGCTGTTGCTACTGCTGCTACTGCTGCTGCTGCTGCTGCTGTTGCTACTGCTGCTACTTCTGCTACTGCTGTTTCTGCTGCTGTTTCTGCTGCTGCTTCTGCTGCTGCTTCTGCTGAGACTGCCTCTCATGTTCCCCATTTATGTTTTCCTCCCCTTCCATTGCCCATCCCCAGTGTCGCCCCACACCAACAGAACAGCCCCCATCGGGTGCATGGCTTTAGCCCAGCCATACAAGTTACCACCACCCTGTTGCATTCCCCCTCATTCTATTCCTCCCCTCCCTTCCATTCCTAAACCCCAAACCCCAGTGTCAACCCACCCGAACAGCCCTCATTGGGTGCGTGGCTCTCGCTCAGCCATGCAAGCTACCACCACCCTGTTTCATTCCCCCACATTCCATTCCTCCCTTCCCCTTCCATTCCTAAACCCCAAAACCCCAGTGTCGCCCCACACCAACAGCCCCCATTGGGTGCGTGGCTCTCGCGCAGCCGTACAAGCTCCCTGCGATCATGCACTCCCCCGCCCAGCCTATCACCCCCGCTGCTGCTGCTGGGACTGGCTCATGTTTGTATTTTCCGTACGTACTTTCCACCCCTCCTTCCCCCCCAGTGTCGACCCACCTCAACAGCCCCCATCGGGTGGGTGGCTCTCGCTCAGCCGTACAAGCTCCCCGCAATCATGCACTCCCGCGCTCAGCCTTCCTGTCCGCTCATGTGTTTCTCCGTAATTCCTCTCCCCCTCCCTGCCCATCCCCAGTGTCGCCCCACCCCAACAGCCCCCATTGGGTGGGTGGCTCTCGCGCAGCCGTACAAGCTCCCTGCGATCATGCACTCCCGCGCTCAGCGTATCACCCCCGCTGCTGCTACTGCTGCCGCAACTGCCGCAGCTGCCGCTGCTGCTCCTACCCTTTCTCCTCCTGCTGGTGCTCCTGCTGCTGCTGCTGTTCCCGAGCCGAGAAAAGAACAGGAAAGGCCTGCTGCTGCTTCTGAGGCAGCAGAATCGAGTTCGGGGCTGAACAAGCATGCAGCAGCAGCTGCAGCAGCAGCAGAGCAGGGGCATACCACAGTGCAACCTGCAGCAGGAAATGCGAGTGCCAGGGCAGAAGCTGCAGGGAATGCGAGTGATAGAGCAGCAGGGGAAGTGGAGTGGACAGTGGAGGTGCAGGTGGAGGGTGCTTTGGACACGCAGGTCACATCTCACATCCGCTGCTGTGGCCACCAGGTGAGCCTCTGCAAGCAATAAAGGAGTGGACAGTGGGGGTGCAGGTGGAGGGGGCACTGGACACACAAGTCACCTCTCACATCCGATGCTGCGGCCATCAGGTGCAGCTCTGTTGCCATCAGGTGGGCCTCTGTTGCCTTCAAGTGGGCCTCTGTTGCCTTCAGGTGGGCCTCTGTTGTCTTCAGATGGGTCTCTGTTGGCTCCAGGTTGGTCTCTGTTTCCCTCAGGTGGATTTTGTGCTTGTTTACTTATCATATGTGCTCGACTTGTCTAGTGTTTCTCTGTGGTGTAACTACACTGAAGTGCATATTTGTTTTGAGGTGTATATTTATCTCTGCAGCTCCCACTGCAGTCAGGGTTTCGGGTTTTGCGATTTCGGCTTGACCGTTGAGGGTTTCGAGGGTGTAGCCTTATGGCTGCCTGCCTCTCTGTGCGCTGATGGTGCCTGCCTGCCTGTCTGCTTGCCTCTGTGTTTGCCCCTCATGCCAGATGCATTTCGAGTGCTACAACCAGTACATGTCAGCTCTGGTGGACAGGGACCGAGCGGATCGGCCGTACGAAGGTGAGCTGCCTAGCTAGCTAAAAGGCAAGAAGGCAATGGCTCTTTGCACTGAAGCCAGATGCATTTCGAGTGCTACATGTCAACTTTAGTGGACAGGGATTGAGTGGATCGGCCGTATGAAGGTGAGCTGCTAGCCAGCTAAAAGTCAAGTGCTCTCCTTCGTATACTGGCTGGGCCCCCCATATTTTGCCGGCTTGGTTTGACTTTTGATAATTCTCAAAAGTCAAACCAAGTCAAGTGCTCTCCTGTATGTTGGCTGGGGGGGGGCCCATATTTTGCCAGCCTGACAACCTGCCTGCTTTGTCCTCACCACCCGTGCTTTGAGGTGTCGCAAACAGTGACCTCTTCTGCTGCTTCTCCTGCTGGTGCTGTTGAGGCGCCTCAAAAACGACCTTTGAGGCGCCTAAAAAATGCCCTCATCACCCGTGCTTTGAGGCGTTGCAAACAGTGACCTCTTCTGCTGCTTTTGAGAATTCTCAAAAGTAAATTTCAGAATTCTCATAAGTAAATTTTAGAATTCTCAAAAGTAAATTTCAGAATTCTCAAAAGTAAATTTCAGAACTCTCAAAAGTAAATTTCAGAATTCTTAAAAGTAAATTTCAGAATTCTCAGAAGTGCCACACCCGTGCTTTGAGGCGTCGCAAACAGTGACCTCTTCTGCTGCTTCTCCTGCTGGTGCTGCTGCTGCTATTCCCCCTCCCAACCCCCCCCCCCCCCCCCCCCCATTTGTTTTCCCCTCTCACCCGCTTCCCTCCCTATTTCCCTGCGTGCAATGATCAGGCCGTGGGCTGATAGACTTGGCACGAGGCGAGTTCCTGTGCCCTGTGTGTCGCCGCCTCGGCAACCTGCTGCTGCCAGACGTCAGGATGACTCTGCCCCTCGCCAACCCTCCACCTTCCTCTGAGGCGCTTCCAAAACCGACTTCTACTGCCGCTGCCGCTGTTGTTGGTGGTGGTGGTGGTGATGGTGCAGCTGCTGGGTCTAATTCTGGTGCTGGCGCCTCTGTGGTCAAGAAATCAAGCTCAACCAGACAAGAAAGGGAGACTCAGAGCCTTAAGAGGGTGTTGGAGCGGTTGAGAGTGTTAAAGAGGTGTGTGGATGAGGAGAGGGAGGAGGGGCAGTGGGAGGAGCGGCAGCAGGTGTGGTGGACTCGCTTCTGGCTGACCAGCACCGCTATGAGCGGCTTCCTTGTCATCTTCTGCAGCCAGGTGCGTCTGTGTGGCCCTGTGTCTGTGTGTCTGTGTCGAGTTTGGCTGTTCATCAAGCACATGGGGAAGACTTTGAATGGAGGCAGAGCATGTGAGGATAGTGTCGAATGATTATTTTTTTTTGGCGCTCTGAACTGTCTTGAAACTCGAGTGCGTAATCCTGTTAGCTTTTTCACCTGACCTTGCATCTCTCGATGATTTATTATTTATGTGCTGCTGTCCTGTCCAGCCTCCTCTCCTTCACTCCCCCCCTGCCCCATCTTCTCCCCCCCTGCCTCATCTTGTCCTCCTCTTATCTTCCTGCTCATATGGAACTGTCAGAACTCCATGATCCGCCTGCTGCCCTCGCGCTGAACCTCCTTATCGCTCCTCCCTCCCGTTGCCCAGTCTTCTCCTCTTCTCCTCTGTTTGTCTTCCTGCTCATATGGAACTTGCAAAACTCCATGATCCGCCTGCTGCCCTCGCGCTGAACCTCCTTATCGCTCCTCCCTCCCGTTGCCCAGTCTTCTCCTCTTCTCCTCTGTTTGTCTTCCTGCTCATATGGAACTTGCAGAACTCCATGATCCGTCTGCTGCCCTCGCGCTCAACCTCTCCTGGATACGTCTGGAAGGTGCGCATTGTACTGTGAGGTGTCGTATCATATCGTGTCGAATTGAATCACGCCGTGCCTTATCGGATCATGCCTTGTCGTATCGAATCACGCCATGTCGTATCAAATCATGCCATGTCGTATGTCGTATCGAATCATGCCATGTATGCAAAACCCGAAGACAGGAGCTCATATGAACTTCTTTCGAGAATCACTTCTGACAGTCATAGGTGAACTCCCCTTAAGGACAAGTTTCATGTGAGTGCGTTTTGAGGCTCAACCCGCTATTTTTCTCTCCCAACTTCTTCTTCTACTCCTTCTTCCCTTGACTCCACCCCATCAGTCCGTGTGGGAACTGCTCGCTCTCAACATCGTGCATCACGAGGTGGAGACAAGACACGCCGCCCTGCAGGCCATGGCCACTGCTACAGCCGCTACATCCGCCACAACCCCTGCTGCAGATGCCTCGGCTGCTCCTCCTTTGTCTTCTGTGGAAGCAGCAGAAGCAGCAGCAGCAGTGGCGCGAGCATGTGTGGGTGAGGGGTCGGACAAGGGCCATGAGATGGCCCTGGATGGGCTGGCGCACCTGGCTCTGCTCACCAACACCATCATGGCAGCAGGTGGGCGCGTGTCTATGTGTGGATAGGGTGTGTATCTGAGGGTTGGATTAGTGAGGCGCCTACACAATGAATCTGTAGGGTTCGGACGACAAGGGCCACGAAATGGCTCTGGATGGACTGGCGCACCTGGCTCTGCTCACCAACACCATCATGGCTGGAGGTAGGGGTGTGTGTGTGGATAGGGGTGTGTGTGTGCAATCTATCTTAAGGTGAGAATTGCACGTCAAGTGGTTGCATCTTGAACCGACTCAAAACACATCCTTCTCCTCCCTCTCTCCTCCTCTTCCGCTTGCCAGCCCCGGTGGTGGATCACCAGTGCACGAGTCTGTTCAAGTGGTTGCATCTTGAACCGGAGGAGGAGGAAGACGAGAAGGACAGGGCAGGTAGCAGCAGGAGAGCGGGGAGAGGAGGAGGAGGAGGGGGCAACGGGAAAAAGGGACAACCCAGGAAGGGGAATGGGGAGAAAGAGGGGAATGAGGCGAAAGAGGGGAAAGAAAGGAAAGAGGGAGAAGATGTTGGGAAGTCTGTGGCACAAGAGGTTGGGAGTAAGAAAGACGAGGATGAGGAAATGAGAGGTGAAGAGGAGGAGAGGGAAGGAGAGAAGGCGGAGTGCGAACAGGAGGAGGAGGGAAGTGATGGGTTTGAGTGGGAGGGGGTGCAAGAGGGATCAGGGGCAATTGGCAGTGGAGGGCAGAGGTTGGGAGAGGCGTCTACTCCGGTGGCTGTGCCCTCAAGCGTTCGAGAGGCTATGGTTCGATTTGGCGGGATGGGGGGGGCTGGGGAGGAGGGGATGGTGGGAAAAGGACGAGCAGGACGGAGAGGAGGAGGTGAAGGAGCAGGAGGAAGTGGGGGAGGAGAAGTAAGGGGAGGGAGGAGGAGAGGGGGACGGATGTCGTTTCCTATGCATGGTCTCGGGGGTGGTAGTGGGGATGATGAGAGTGAGGAGGAGGATGAGGAGGAGGAGGATGATGAATGGGAAGAAGTGGAGGAGAGTGAGGAGGGAGGGGATGAAGGTGGGGAGGAGGAGGACGAGGAGGAGAGCGAGGAGGAGTGGGAAGAGGCAGAAGAAGGGAGAGTGGCAGGGGATGAGGAGAGGGGGGTTGCATCAGAGGGGTTTGTGTTGGTTGATGCCTCTGTTGCAGCCCCCACACCAGCTCCTCCAGCTGTTACTGCAGCTACTGCTGAAGCTGCTACTCCTGTGGCTGCTGCAGCAGCTGCTGCTGCTGAAACTGTTGTGACTGCTACTGCTGCAGCAGCTGCTGATGTTGAAACCGCTGTGACTGCTACTGCTGAAACTGTTCCTCTTCCTGCTGCCACTGCTGCTGCTGTTGCTGCTGCTGCTGGAGAGACACAGGTGCAGGAAGGAGGGACAGGGCAAGCAGCAACCACCACAGCCGCAGCAGCACCAGCAGACGCAGCAGCAACAACGGGTGGTGTTACAGCAAGATTAGCAGCAGCGGCAACAGCAAGAGCAGCAGCAAGGTTAGGCAGAGCAAGAGCAGCAGGTGGGGGAGTAGCAAGAAGAGGAGTAGCGTTGACAAGAAGAGGAGGAGCAAGGAGAGGCGGCAGGGCAGCAGGGGGAGCAAGAGGGGCAAGAGGGACAAGAGGACCAACAGGACCAATGGGACCGGGTGGCCTAGAGATCCCCCCAGAGCTGCTGCAAGCATTGATGGCAGAGGGAATCACACCTGCTGAGATGGTGGCGGAACTACGAGAGCTAGAAGAAGAGTTTGGTGCAGAGGATGAGGAGGAGGAAGAGGAGGAGGAGGAGGAGGATCGGATGGATATGGGCGTGGATTCGAGCTGGAGTGTGCTGTTGGGGTTGCTGTCCCGGCCGGTTGTTGCTGCTGATCCCTTTGCTGTTCTGCTGTCGCTCATTCAGGTAAATGGGCTTGCTTCTGTCAAATTTATCCAGATTAAGGTTTGCGTATGTCTAATACTGCCATGATTGCTGATATTGTTCTGCGCCTTTTTTTTTCTCCAAAATCCAGGTAGTTCTTGTCACTTGTCTTAAGTAACTCTTGCTGTTGCGCTCATTTCACCTCACCTCATTTTTTCTTTCCCACCACACTCCTGACCCCACCCTTCCACAACAGTCCAAGCAGCCCCGCCCCTCTGCTGCCACGACACAAGCCATCCTCCTTGTCTCTTTCTGTGTGGCCATCACACAATCCCTCGCCGCCCTCCAGCCCTCCTCCCGCCTCCGCCCCTCCTCCCTCTCCTCCTCCTCCACTCCCTCCTCCCGTGCCTCCTCCTCCTCCCGTACCTCTGTTCCTTTCCTCGGGATGTTTCCCCGACCCACCCCTATTTCTGCTGCCGCTGCCGCCGCCGCTGCTGCCGCTGCTGCTTCCGAACCTGCAGGCGAGGAGTGGGCTGAGTGGGGTGTCCTGGCCTGCTGCTTGCCGTACCTCCGCCGAGCCTACATCCTGGTGTGTTGTCATTGTTATCGGTACAAAGAATATCTCTGGATATTCTTCAAAGAAACGAACGTGCCGTACCCCCCTATATCTTCATGATGCTGCAGGGTGTTTTTGAGAATTCTCAAAAACACCCTGCAACAACGTGCCGTACCCCCCTATATCTTCTGTACGTTCGTTTCCAACATGGATTCTTCCCTTCCCCACCCACGTGCTCTAAACAGTCACCTTCAACCATGGTCCCTTGAGTTGAGGCGTCTCAGAATCTAGTTTACAAGTTAAATGACATGCGTTCTAAGTCCACTGATACACAAACGCGTTCAAAGACACTGTTTACCTATTGTCTCTTCTCCACGTTACTCCCTCTCTCCCCTCTGCTCCATTTTCCTGTCTTCCTCCCTCCCTTTAAAACCCTGTACTCCTTATAACCAGATTCACTACCTTGGCATAATGCCACTCAGAGAGCCTCCGCTTGTGGATCACCGCATTAAAGCAATTAAGAATCTGAGTAAGAGCTGCAATGTTAGAGAACTTTACAAACGTGTCAACCCCCATATGTTATTGCCCAGTGCTCCGCTCTGCTCGCCCTAAAAAACCCCTCCTTTTTTGGCCTGAAAGCCTTCAAGTCTGCTCGCCCAACTTCCCCTCGGCTTCTCTTGCTCGCCTCTTCCCCTTTTTACCTAGTTGCCTTTCAAGAATTCTCAACATCCAGCAATCTCTGCTCGCCTCACGTCCCCTCGGCCTTCTTTCCTTGCTTGCTCTGCCCTCTGCAGGCCCGCAAGTGCTGCTCGCTGATTGGCTGCGCCGCTCGCTTGCCCTTCCCTCCGTGACCGCTGTGCTTCGCCTCATGGCTTCCGCCAACAGTGAAGGTGAGGCGTTGGCTTCGCCTCATGACCCCGCTTTTAGTTTTTTCCCTTCACCCTTTCATCTTTCATCTTTCACCCATCACCATTCACCCGTCACCCTTTATGCTTTGCCTCATGGCCTCCGCCAGCAGCAAAGGTGAGTCCTTGACTTCATTAAGAGTTCTCAAAAACCAGAAGGTGAGGCCTTGACTTCATTCATCCAGTCGAATCTGTAACTTTTGACTTTCCTTTTCACTCTTCACCTTTTGCACTTGAACCTTCACCGCTCATTCCATTGCTCAACATTCCCCATGCATACACCCATCACCTTCTATGCTTCGCCTAATGGCCTCTGCCGACAGTGAAGGTGAGTCGCCTTTCATCTTTTACCTTTCACCCTACAACTTTCACCCTACCTTCACGCTTCACCAACTCCCCGTGACACCTCCTGTCGCCCATCCTAACCTTCCCTTTCTCCCACTCGTCCCGGCTCCATCCCCCTTTCTCCTCGCGTCTCTGCAGCATCATCCAGCCAGCCGTGGCACCTCAGCAGTATGTTTGCATCATGGAATGGAACCTCCTGTCGCCCATCCTAACCTTCCCTTTCTCCCACTCGTCCGGGCTCCATCCCCCTTTCTCCTCGCGTCTCTGCAGCATCATCCAACCAGCCGTGGCACCTCAGCCGCATGTTTGCATAATGGAACCTCTCGCCCGTCCTAATCCTCCCTTTCTCCCTCCGCCCTTGCGCCCGGGCCCCATCCCCTTTTCTCCTCGCCCCTCTGCAGCATCATCCAGACAGCCGTGGCACCTCAGCCGCATGTTTGCATAATGGAACCTCTCGCCCGTCCTAATCCTCCCTTTCTCCCTCCGCCCTTGCGCCCGGCCCCATCCCCTTTTCTCCTCGCCCCTCTGCAGCATCATCCAGCCAGCCGTGGCACCTCAGTCGCATGTTTGCATAATGGAACCTCTCCCCTGTCCTAATCCTCCCTTTCTCCCTCCGCCCTTGCACCCGTGCCCCATCCCCTTTTCTCGTCGCGTCTCTGCAGCATCATCCAGCCAGCCGTGGCACCTCAGCCGCATGTTTGCATCATGGAACCTACCATCAGTGAGTACTTACATTACAAACACATCCACCCCATGCCACACCCATGATGTACATTTTTTAATGCATGTTGCCCAGTTTGGCATTCTTAAGTTGGAAGGGGAGAAGCAGGTGAAGGAGGAATATGAGGTGCTGCTTGGTGCAGCGTTAGAGAAACATGACTATCGGAATGGTGAGAAGGGAGCATTTGTGTTGGAGATAAAGAGTATGTCAGTCAACAAGAGGAGAGGGTCACCTGTGGAGAATCCAGTATCTCTGAGCAAAGAGGAAGGAGAAGTACGAAGTGACAAGGTCTGTGAAGACGAAGCTGTTGATTCGGTAGCGAGTGGTGGCCAGATGGCGGAGAGGGGGTATTGTCACGGATACTCGAGTGACAGCACATCCTTCGACGTCTGCCACTCGAGTATCCGAGACAATACCCCCTCCGCCATCTGGCCACCTATCGACACCGAATCAACCGCTTTGTCCTCACCAACCGCATCACTTTGTATTTCTCCTTCCTCTCTGCAATTACAGATACTGGATTCTCCACAACCCTCTCCTCTTATAGACGTACCCTTCATTATCAGATGTGAATGCCCACTTCTTACCATTCCAATCGCCTGGTTCTTTTGACGCGGCACCAACAAATTCCTCTTTCACATGCTTCACACCTTTTATCTTCAGAATGTCAAACTGAACGACAGGCACTCCGAATCAACCCCCGTGTTGCATATTTGTATGCATTCATGCCTCTACAAACGCATGCATCATGCATGCCACTACACTCTATTGATGTATCATGTATGTCTCTATATGCACTGTGCATGTCTCCATGCATGCCAATATCCCTCGAATTCTCACACATGCAAGAATCTCCCCTGCTGGTCAGAGCACCCGTCCAGCCATGTGTGCATACATTCATGCATGCATGCTAGAATAATTAAATGTATGCATGCTTCTGCTATGCCCGCATGTCTCCATGCATACTAATGCCTGTCTCATCCTCACACATGCAGGAACCACCTCGGCTGGTCAGAGCCCCCACCCAGCCATCCTTCCACCCATTGCCGGAGATTTACCAGGTATTTTCCAATTAATTGTCTTGTTGTGATGCGTTCAAGTTATACCAGGTACTTTGCACCAGGTAACATGCAATCGCCAAAGAAAGCCTTACAGGCACATGATCAAACTCTTGTAGTGAGGCATTGGAATATAGAAGCTTTTTGCTGGTACACTTCAAAGCCTGGAGATTTCTAGCAGGTGCCTTCCCTGTTCATCCTCTCCTTCTGTCCCTCCCAGGACCTGCTGCTATCCACGATGAACAAGGCATGCAAGAACTGCAGGTTGGAACCCCCCAACTCTGCTGTCTGCCTGTGCTGCGGGGAAAGCTGCTCTGTTACTACAACTGCAACTCTCGATGGTGCTCCTTCCCCCATCCACTCCCCTCCCTCCCAGGACCTGCTGCTATCCACGATGAACAAGGCGTGCAAGAACTGCAGGTTGGACCCCCCCAACTCTGCTGTCTGCCTGTGCTGCGGGGAAAGCTGCTCTGTTACTACAACTGCAACTCTCGATGGTGCTCCTTCCCCCATCCACTCCCCTCCCTCCCAGGACCTGCTGCTATCCACGATGAACAAGGTGTGCAGGACCTGCAGTTTGAAATCCCTCAACCCGGCTGTCTGCCTGTGCTGAACCATCCTCTCCTGCCCTCCCCTCCCTCCCAGGACCTGCTACTCTTCACGATGAACAAGGCATGCAGGAACTGCGGCCAGGAGCCTCCCAACCCCGCTGTGCTTTCAGCATGTGCTCCCACTTCCCCACCCATCATCCACTCCACTCCCCTCCCTCCCAGGACCTTCTTTTGTCCACGATGAACAAGGTGTGCAGGAACTGTGGCCAGGAGCCTCCCAACCCCGCTGTGTGCCTGTGCTGTGGCGAGTTGCTCTGCTACCACTCCTCCTGCTGCCACTCGGACGGGCGTGGGGAGTGTTACAGACACGCGCTGAGAGGTGGGTTTTGTTCTTTAGGTAGGTGTGCGTGCTACAAACGTGCTGCTCTGCTACCACTTTTCCTGCTGCCACTCGGGCGGGCACCGGGAGTGCTACAGACACGCGCTGAGAGGTGGGTGTTTTGTGTCGCTACACTTGGGAATCCTACATGTGTGCCATCAACATCCTATTCCTTTGTCCTAGCTGGATCTACCCATTTGGCTTATCCCAGCTGTTATCCAGGCGTAGGAGTGAAGGGTGACCTAGACGGTGGTGCCACAGGACTGACGGGTGGGTGAGTGACCGACAGGAGCATGACGCAGCAACCTGGCCAGACGCAGCTACCTGGGGGGGAGGCGGTGCGAAATAATAATGGAGCTCAACTGATTGATTAGGAAAGAAGGCACTAGGCCTTAAGTACAAACGAGGTTGGGATGGGCAAGGCTAGGGAAAGGATGGGATGGGAATCCTAGCAAATCTCCAATTGGTGAGTTGGCAGATTTGCAGGATTACGAGGGAATCCCAACCAGATAGGGTTGGGATCACAAACTACACCCAACCTGCAAATAACCTACGCGATATAGAATATAGTACACAAAGTGTTGACAGCCTAATTCTAACACACCCCCTAGGCTGCAACACATCAGCCACAAGGAGGCCCAACACCCATGGCCGAGAGGAGGCGGTAATGATCCTCGCGAACAAGCGACTTGATAAAGAAGTCAGCAAGGTTGCAGTCGGAGGCAATGTGTTCAGCCTTCAGCTGCTCGCGCTGCACCAGCTCACGAAGAAAGTAGTGACGGACTTCAATGTGCTTGGTGCGGCCATGGAAAACGGGGTCTTTGGTGAGATGAATGGTGCTCTCGTTGTCACACCAAAGCGTTGGGGTTGGTTGGGGATACCCCAGTTCTGTCAGCAGGAAGGAGAGCCAACGAGCCTCCTGTGCAGCCATGGTCCCGGCATACAGCTCTGCCTCACAGGTCGACAGTGAGACGGAGGACGACCGAGTGGAGCGCCAACTTACAACCCCACTGCCAAGGGTAAAGCAATACCCTTGGGACGAGCGCCGATCACTCTGGTCATCAGCATAGGATGAGTCACTGTACCCCTCAAGGCGAACAGGGGAAGTGCCGCCAAGTGTGAGCACATAATCCTGTGTGCCTTTGAGATAGCGAAGAACCCGCTTGGCGGCAGACCAGTGGTGGCGAGTGAAGCGACCAGGTGCAACGTAGCGGGACAGTACACTGACTGGATAGGCTAAGTCTGGTCGAGTGTACATCATCGCGTACATGAGGGATCCCACGAGCTCGGGGTAAGGCTCGTCACAGGGCTCAGGTGAGGGAACGGAGGGTGCAGTGAGTTGGTGTTGCAGAGAGAGTGGGGTGGGCATTGATGCTGCTTCCTGCATCTGGAACCTCGTCAGAACGTTGTTGATGTAAAACTTTTGCGAAAGGGTGATGGTGCGGGCTGTGCGATCACGTGTGATTTCCATTCCCAAATAGTTCGTCAGCTTCCCAAGGTCCTTCATGGCCAGCTTCTCACCAAGTGCGGTTTTGACTGCTGCCAGCTCAGTCTGATCCTTGGTGACAAGGATCATGTCATCGACATAAACCAGGATGAAGAACCGGGAGGGTGGTGCTCGGATGAAGAGGCTGGGGTCAGAGGTGGATGGGTGAAAGTCGAGGGACCCTAAGGTGCTCTTTAGCTTGTTGTGCCATTCCCGGGGAGCTTGCTTGAGGCCATACACTGGCCGATTCAGCTTCCATACAGTGCCTGGTGGAAAAGGAGCTGGAAATCCTTCGGGCCGCTCCATATAGATTTCCTCTCGAAGGATCCCTTGCAGGAACGCAGAAGACACATCCATGCAGTCAACCTCCATGTCATCTCGAGCAGCGACATCGAGAAGGGTGCGCAGTGTGGGAGGTTTGGCGGTGGGAGAGAATGTCTCAAAGAAGTCCAGTCCACGCTTTTGGGTAAATCCCTTGGCACAGTACCGGGCTTTGAAGACAGGAAATTCGCCTGGAAGTTGTTTCACCCGAAAGACCCATTTTCCCTTCACAATGTTGACGCCGGAGGGGGGAGAGACGTCTGTGAAAGTTCCTGTGTGAATGAAGGCCTCACATTCTGCGACAATGGCCCCCAACCACTGAGCGGCGTGAGGACCAGAGACTGCTTCAGCATAGGTGAGAGGTGTGGGGATGGAGGGGTTGTCGGAGAAATTGAGGGTTGGAGAGTCTGCGATGTCTGGAAAGAGGAAGCAGAGTGCGTGGATGGCTGAGTCGATATCAATCAACTCCTCATGTCTGTCTTCAAGGAGGGATGGCATGAGAGAATAATCACCCCCGACAGGAAGAGGATTGAGAGAGACGCGAACGGAAAGGGAGAACGGTTGTGGAGGTGTGCGAGAGCGGGTGCGAGAGCGGGTGCGAGAAGCGATGGGTGAAGGAGGCGGGGCCGGAGTAGGCGTAGCGGAAGGGGAGGTGGGAGTGGGAGGGAGAGTGGAGACAGGATCGGGATCAGGGGTGGGAGCAGGAGGAGGAGGGGGAGGAGGAGGAGGAGGAGCTGGGTGACGGCGTTGGTAGGTTTTGAGAGGAACGGGCTCGGTAGGAGGAGATGCGAGAGGAGATGGAGGAGGGGTAGCGGAGGAGGGAGGGAGCGAGGGAGACTGTGTGGTACTGGAGGGGGAAGCGGGTGATGGGGGATCAGAAATGGTGGAGGGAGCGGGAAGAGGAGGAGATGGAGTGTCGGGAAGAGGGAGACTGTCAAAGTCAGCCCAAGTAAGAGAGGGAGGCGGAGGAGAGGGGGAAGCCTTGGAGGAGGGGTAGAATGGGTGGGACTCATCAAAGTAAACGTCCCGGATTGCAATAGAGCTTGTTGGTGGAAGGATGGAGGAAGAGATAGTCTGGCGAATCTAAGTTGTGCCCGAGGTATACGCACGTGATCGTTTTGGGAGCAAGTTTGCCGCCAGCCGCACGACTTGCTTGGGAGTTGAGGAGGACATAGGAAGTGCACCCCCATACACGAAGAGGGCGGACGGATGGCTTTTGACCCGTCCATAGCTCAGCGGGGGTGGTGTGGGTGTGATGAGGATGGGGATGGAGATTGTGGAGGGCGGCAGCATGAAGCATGGCGTACCCCCAGAGAGAGGGAGGGGCGGAGGCGTGCGTGAGGAGGCAGCGAGCAATCTGCACCAATGTACGGTTCCGGCTTTCGGCAATACCGTTCTGCTGGGGACTGTCCGGGAGAGTGAAGGTCTGACGGATACCCTCAGTGGAGCAGAAAGCTTTGAGAGTGTTGTTGCGGAATTCACCGCCACCGTCAGAGTGAAGGACCTTGATGGTGGTTTTGAAGTGTTTGTGAGCCTGCTTCGCCCATTCAATGATGACGCCTGGGGCTTCGGATTTGGAGGAGAGAAGGTGGACAGACACATAGCGGGAATAGTCATCAATGATGACAAGGAAGTAAAAGTGTCCACCGCGAGAGCGAACAGGAGCTGGGCCCCAAAGGTCCATGTGCACGCGATCGAGAGGTGCAGCGGAGATGGACTCAGTGGGGGGATGGGGCTGTTCACGAAGCTTGCTCTGTGCACAGTCAAGGCAAGGCGGCCCTAGGGTGGAGGTAGGAGAGGGAAGTGAGGTTGGAAGCCCGTGGAGGAGTTGTTTTGTGGCAAGGTCTGAAAGCGCGCGAAAGTTGATGTGGCCAAGGCGGTGATGAAAGAGCATGGTTTTGTCGGAAAGGAGGCGGCAGTGACAGGTGGAGGAGTCAAGGGAAGGTAACGGGAGGTTTGTGAGGGAGCACGTTTGAATGGGAGGTACTACGAGCGTGTATAGGTTGTTGGAGTTGAGAGTGAAGCGGGCTAGATGAATGCCGGTTTTGGCGTCAAAGAGGTCACAGTAGTCGACATCATTGGGAAAGATGGTGATCACTCCTGCTTGTTGGATTTCACTTTGTGCCAGGAGGTTGTGGCGGAGGGTGGGGGCACAGATGCCAGTGACTGTGCCCGATGGAAATGCTGGACAAGGAACTGTGGGGGACCCATGGCATTGGATGGAGAAGCTAGAGTCGGCTCCGAGGAGTGGGATGGGAGCCTGGTA